TTATTAAACAGATTCTGGAAAAAATTTCAAAAGACACTTCCAAAAATTCTTTGAGACACAGCAACATAATTGGGTTAAATATTTCAGCCCTCAAGGTGACTCACTTGAAGGTACTGTATCTGCTACAGCTGCTTCAAAACATGAATCTCATTAGGTGTAATTAGATCTAGGAATATAATTTAGTTTAAAGGAATTTCTAGAATAGATCATAGATGTGTTTTTATACTCAATGAAATAATATGTTTCAAAAGCTGGAAATAGTATTCAATAAAGAAAAATAAAAACAGACCTCTGAAACTTGTAAAAGCAGGCTTTAGATAAATTAGATACATTAAAACAGGGATCAGTAAGCCAACATCTTCTATCTGGACATCCTGAAATGAAAATGATTATTAAATTAATGTTCTGTAACCAAGATGGTGATGTAACTCCATCATTAGAGAAGCAAGTGCAAAGTGTTATGCATCCTCTTTATAAATCAATGGGAAAAACACTTTGTGCACTTGCTGTTTGCAATGCAATTTAGAGGTTCTAATGCATAAGATGTGTATGAAAAAACACTTAGGAAGACTATGATCTGTAAAGGTGTATGAGTATGTTTATTCCTAAATTTATTTTATTCATTAAATCTAAACAGATATATTGAAACTGAGCAGAAAAATATGTTTGTTAGAGTGTGTTCTGTGTTAAAGAGAGACATTCATGTGGTTGTGCAGCATTACATCACAAATGAAACACTCTTTAACACCGTGTTGATTTCCTTAGTGTTTCTTTATGGGTGAGATGCAAATTGTCCCCCAAGAAACTCATTGCATTGAAGGTCTGGTTGTTGATGAATCTTTGAGAAGTGATTGGAAGATGAACGCTTTTACTTCATCGGTGGATTAATAAATCAAGCCATAATTTAATGGAATTATTAGAAGGTGGAGAAATCATGAGATGCTGTTTGTTTGACAAGAGTATGCTCAGGGAGCATACTCCTGGGGTTGTAGCTATTTACAGCCCCTAGCTCTCTGGTTCTTTCTTTCTTTCTTTCTTTCTTTCTTTCTTTCTTTCTTTCTTTCTTTCTTTCTTTCTTTCTTTCTTTCTTTCTTTCTTCTCAGTTAATATAAGCTTAACTGGAAACTTGGTTGGCTTGAAATTTATGAAGCGAATTTCTAGGTATGCCCTGGAGTCCTCAAAGATGATCTCAAGGTCTGTCTCTGCTGCACAGCCCCTTCCTCTCTGACACTCTTTCCCTGCTCCACTTCTCAGCCAACATAAATGGAGCAGCTTTCATCCAGCATGCACTTCTGCCATGGTATTACTGCCTCAGAGTCAGCCGATTATGAGCTAACACCATGAGCCGAATAAACCTTTTCCTCCTTTAACTTGTGGTGATGGGTATTTGGTCCCAGCTTTGGGAGAGCTGACTGAGGACCCGGAGAAGTGGATCTTTGCTGAGTCCAAAATATTCTGACCATGTGGTTTAGAATATTTCGCCAAATAGGTTGCAAGATAAATTTGGTCTGGTGTCAGGATGCAAGCTAGAGAAGTTCTGAAACACTGTAAGGTGAGCTTGATGGATGATTCTGGACAGCAATAAGAAGTCTAAAATACTAACAAGAATTCTGACAGTAAAGGCCAGGCTGAGCTCCACGTCTGTTCCTTAGCCCCTTTCTGAGGATATCTCAGTTGGGATCATTCATTAGCAATAGTTATCATATAATTATGCTCTGCACTTTAAGGAAGACTATGAGCCAGTAAATACATTTTGTGGAGATATGGAATTTGAATTAATTTATGATTACATTTCATTGAAAAGTTAAACACAACAAGAAAATCATACAGAAGGAACATAAATTAAAGGAGGACCCCAAATGAATCACAGTTTGGAATATAATTATGCATAATTTTTTTCAGGAAAGAATATGAGAATAAAAACATATAGTATTAGTCATATAATAATAGCAGTTCTAAATAAAAAAACACATCTGAAAATATTATGAAATAATACTCATGAACAAAATTATAAATATCTGGTTAAGAAAAAATGCATTGACCTGGAAACAACAGTTATCCTCCTTCAGAAGAACTAGTATAGATTCATCTCTTACCTTGTTCTAAAATGAAATCACAGTGGATCAAAGAACTACACTGAAACACAGAAATATTGAATCTGCTAGAAGATAATATACATAAAATTCTTGAAGACATAAGCATTAGGCAAGAAATTTCTTTACAGAACCCCAATTAAACATGAAACAGTATCAACAAACAACAAATGAAAGTATATAAAGTCAGAAGGCATCTTGACAGCAAAGGGAACAACCAGCACGTGATTACTTTTCATTGGCATTGCACTGACAAGCTCGAGGATGGGAGTAAGTTTTGCCTGCTACTCCTTGAACAGAGGACTAACACAAACTTAAATAATTAAATTTCCCAAAACAAAACACCTAATCATAAAGTGGGCAAATGACATGGATAAACACTTCTCAAAAGATTAAGTAAATGGGCCAATAAGTGCTTTAAAAATGTTCAATATCTTTGGCCTCTAGAGAAACAAATCAGAACAACATTGAGATTCCACCTTACCTCAGGAAGACTGGCTATTACCAGAACTCAACAAATAACAAAGGCTGGAAAGGTCACACGGGAAAAATAAAGCTTTCTACATTCTTTGTGGGAATGTAAAGTAATACAAACACTGCGGAGATCAATATAAAGATAACATTTGACTGAACTATTTCTCTTCTGGGTATCTTTCCCAAAGCTAGACATAAAATTACGACTCTGTGTACATAGTTACATTTAAAGTGGCACAATGCACAACAGCTGAATCACGGAGATGCCACATGTGACCATCAACATGTGAGTTAATACAAAAATATGTGCATGTATACATAGTCAAGCCACACCAAGCCATAAAGCGGGATACATTTAATCCATGTATAGGAAAGTGGATAGTTGGTGAGACCATAATCCTAACTGAAATAATTCAAGTGCAAAATAATATATATCACATAGTTTCTCTTATGTGAGTATCTTGATTCTCTCCCATTGCTGAGGCAAAATACTTGACACCCAAAATTAGGGAAAGAAAGGGTTATTTAGTGTACAGCTTTTGGAGGTTTCAGTCCATACACATCTGGCTCCACGGCAGGGTGGCATGCAGACGGCAGCCTCTCATAGTGGCTGCGAGTGACAAGAATGAAAGAGCAAAAGAGGAAGGTATGCTTCCTTCTTATACAAGCTGGAATACCTTGGGCAGTTGCAGCACTCACACTGCAATCCCAGCACTAGACAACAAACCAATCACAAATGCTACACTCAGCCGCCTTGGAAAAGTCCACCTGCCATGACCACATGAGGGTTTGGGGGGGGCGTTTAAACAAACTATAACCATAATAAACCTAAAGTGTACATGATTTTAAGAGTAAAATATAAGATGGAAAAAAATGAAGGCAGAATTTGTGGAGATGAGAAAGCATCTGAGAATGGGGGGAAAGAAGAGAGTAAAAACGACTAAAATGCACTATGTCTATGTAGCAATTCCCCAAGATCAAGATAATTGTCATATATTGCAAATAAATAATAATAATAAAATAAATAAGATACACAAAGGACACCTTTGAGAATTTCTATGAACAGTGAAGTTCACAGTCAGGACAAAAGGAAGAAAGAAGGGAGGCAGGAGAGGCTCGGGAAGGGGGAGGTTTGCTATTGAGTCACGTGAGCAGAGAGCTCCTAAAAGCAGGTTGCACAGTCTTAGCTTGAAAAGGAGGAAATGACAAGAGATTTCCCATCTTTCAGATTAGGCAATAAAGTAAATATATTATAAAATGAAACATCAGTTAAGAATTTATCACATCTCTGACTACATTGCTATGGCAGCACAACTATAATGAGTATCCTGCAATGTATTTATGTATCATTAGGGTTTACCAAAAATTGTGCATAGTAACTAGCTTGCTTTCTTCTATTGAATTTTTGATCTTTTGGTTTCATCTTACAGTTGAGATCCTGGCTCAGTTTTCCAGAGAGGTCTGGTGAAATATGTTAAGACTATACATAGAAACAGCCCTTCCTTGACCATGAGTTCTAGTAACAGGACCACACTCCTCCCTTCTCATGAGCAAGTCCTATGAGACCCAATAATTCAGGAATCATTTCCTATTCTTGTCTCTCAGGAACAATGCCTTCCCTCCTTTACTAAGAAGAAATCTGGCCAGTGCAGACATCTGCCCTTTTCAGTTTAGAGCCAGAAAGAATGTCTGTGCATTAGACTGTGCCCAGCCCCCAAGTATTGATCTGCAACTCTGGATCTTTAATTAAGTGTTGATGAAAAGAATCATTCATCCCATTTTATACTTCTAGGTGTGCCTGGCCTCTGCCCTCCCAGCATCTACTTTGATGAGTCTCACTGTTCTGCTATGAGCCTCCTTCATAGGACTGAGTTTGGCCCCTAACCTGAGCTCGCCAAATGCTGATGAGCCAAAGAACTGCAGAAGCAGGATGCCAAGTGGCAGAGTCATTCAGCTGCAATTGTAAAAATTAATTTTTTAAAAAGCGTGTTCAACACATCTGCATAATTTAATGCTTAAATTTGGATATCATGATTTGTGCTGCTTACATACTTAATAGTTCATTATAGAAGGTGATGTTTCTGAGAGTTTACTCCACCATTTTCTTCTTTTTGATGATTTTGTTTTATAATTCTGATACTGTAGTTCTGCACTCCTTGAAGTATCCTAATCTTTCAATTTTCCTTGTCCTTGAACTTTGATGGGATATTTTTTACTACATTTTCCTTTCTAATAATTGTTCATTATTTATTGATATTCCTTTTATTCAAGAATGTTAATCAATAGCTGGGATAGTATTATCGGCTCATAAAATTTTTAAAATATTAAAATATGCCAACTTCCTGGCTGAAAAATTAAGAAAAAAAAAAACAAGTGTCTTTCATTAAAGACATTAAATTAAATAGGGATAATAATTAGAACTAAGAACTTTACCTGCTGTAGTTGTCTCTTCTTCATCTGAAGCTGCTTAAAGGAGGAAAGGGAAGTGAAATAGGGACCAGAGAGTGGACAGGAAGGGAAGAGATGGAGAGATGGATGGAGAGAAAGAGAGGGATAGAGAAGCAGGGAGGGAGGGAGAGAGGGAGAGAGAGCGTGAGATTAATTCAAATATTTCACATTTATAGTGATCACAATCCCCTGACTTCTACATCCTATATTCCTTTGATTATCTAAAGACAGATTCATAAGTATTTACATTTAATTGAAAATAATATAATATAAATACAATAAAAATGTATATTTTTAAATGAGGCAATCTTGTCATCTGTACTGAAGTTTCCAATTTGCTTTTCATTTTATACACAACTAGTCTTAAATTCCTATAATAATGAGAAAAGTTAATAAATCTAAATTGCATATGACATACACGTATCCCGAGGTCAATTTTCTATTAACATAGAGGGATTTAAAGACATTCCCTATGCTGAAAAGTTTCTTCTTTGAGTAGTATTTATAAGATAGATGCTACTAAAGCTCAGAGAGCCCCTTTTTTTGTTACATATGAAGATTCTAATACACTGTGTTTTTCTTTCCTATGCCTTTGCTGTTCTGTTTGTCTTTGTCACATATAGACACGCACACACACACACACACACACACACACACACTCATGCACGCACACACTTCCTCATCTGCACTGCAATCTTCAGAATTCAGTACCGCTGTCCATGCTGGGGTAAGGACACAGCAGTGCACACTTTAAAGGATGACCCCATATGTTCTGCAGCCCACTCTTGAATAAATGTGGATATTACCAAGCAGATACCAAGATATGAGACTAACTGTGTCCCTCACAAAAGTTCTCGGTCCTGGATGCTCACTGGATGTCAAATTCTGCACCTTACCTCAATCAAATAAATCAGAATCTCTTTAAGGGGTACCAGGATTGAGATATAACTAGATACCGGCAGTAAAAGGTAATGCTGACTATAACTCATGAAAATGAATCATTTTGATTCCGGTTTTAAAGGTGATGTTTGAGAGCAGCCAGACTTTTGAGGCAAACATCTACTGTGTGGTGTGTGTGTACGTGTGTGTGTGTTTTGTATCAGAGCAGGATGCTTAGAAAACCGTAAGGCAGAGCTTATCCATGTAGCTTCCTGATTTTGCCCAGCGTTCACTGTTAACCTTTCCATTTCCAGCCGCACTCTCACTTTCGTTCTGTGTACAGCAGCTTCCCCAGACTCTGCCTGTTGAACCCTAGGACACAAGCCCACACTCTTTTACACTTGACCCATGAAGTTTTAAAGTAAAACTGACTTAGCAGACTTTCTTGTGAATGAAATTAGTTCCCAGCTTGCTCTCCTCTCTTCCAGGGAGGGAGGGATCCACCCGCAGAGAGAACACGTGAGACAATCTCACTTCGTGTCCCACGGCAGCTTCTTGTGCACTGTTTGGGCTTCTCTCCTTGGCACAAAGAACCAAAGAGAGCAAACACAGTTGGTGTACAGGGTGTGGGGAGCATAAATATTTAAAAAGCTGTTTTTTGCTTTATCGGATCCAACATCTATTATAGCATGTTCAAAGAGAAGAGTTGTTGGTAGCTTCCAGGAATTCCCTTTTAGGAAAATGGCAAAGAGAGTTAAAGAAATGCTGAATTATCTGGGTCATTACCAAAGTCTGAGATTCGGAATGGGAAAAAAGTGCTTATGGCTGACCATTTTACACGTGTGAACACAAATAGTTCACAAAGCAACACTGAGATGGACGCTCCAAAGATGGAAATTCATTTAAAATCAAAATACATTGGTCTGATTTCAAAACCAAACATTTTTGTTACTCCTTACTGTCCAATGAAGGGCTTAATGGGGCTGCACTTGGAGGAAAAAAAAAAAAAAAAAAGAACTGGTGGACAAAATATATTGAAGTGTGATCATTACTCTTTATATGAAATGATCTTCTTTTCTAGAAACTTCTTCATGTCTCATAACACAGGGTAGAAACAAGCAGCTGAGATCTTAACTATGACTTAAAAACATCCACATTGATGATATCTAAGGAAGAGAGATTCGAAGTGCCAAGATCTCATCCCTCCTTTGTGAGTACCTAAGCAAGAGCTTTTAGAGCTAACAAGCACGAAATAGAGACACCTGCAATTGCCCAGGAGTTGTAGCAATTAGATTACTTTAAATTCAGATCCTGCAGTACATGCAAAAATCAACCTATTCCTGAGCTTACTTTTTCAAAAGCTTCATACTAATAAGCAAATGGTAAGCGTCAGCCAGTACATGATTTTACATAGAGCTCTATATCCACACAGAATCTCCTCATAAATGTACATATACCCAAAGTTTAGTACTAGTATTAATTCATTATTTTAGTTATCTGTGTGACAAGGATGGCTTGCTGGCTAACACATTACCTAATAAAATATCAGGAAGTATTAATAGGTGACAACTAGAATCTCAAAGTAAAGAATCAACCTCAGAGTGGACACTGGTGATCTATAAAATGCTATTTCAGTAAATAAGATATCTCAGAAAGTATTACTCAGAACCTTCTTCACTCTATTTGATTTTCAGAAGTGATGAAATCAATGACTTAACAAAATTCTGAGTTGGCACTGCAATCGCCTTTAATTCTGGAAACTGGAACACGGCCAAGCAAGGAAAACAAAAATAACCTGCAAAGTAATCGTTTTGTTTCTCCAACTCAGCATGTACAAGGACTTAATAAAAGACTCTAATGGCAGGAACACAGTAAAGAATTGTACTAAACCATAGGATTCAAAGAAGGATACCTCTTCAGTCACCCATAATAGAATCTCTCCTGAGAGTTTGTTAACATGGTTCAGGTATGTTAAATTTGAATTTTGGGTGTTCATTAGCATAAACTTCCACATTTGTAAAGACCTACTTAAGTGAATGTTATAAAGGCTAAATGTTAGGAATTGAGACTAGGTTCATCAGGATTGCTTGACAGGGAAAGGCCATGGGGTCCTCCTGCAAGAAAATCAGCAGGCTTACTGGAAACCCTTTGCAATTTTGTACTGGGATTTTACCAGCCTTCATTGATCTTTTCCCTTCAGGTTTTCTTGTATAACTATTTTACTGCTTTGGAAGAAGACTATTCGCTCTTGGATCTAGAGAGGAGATCTATGTCTCAGAACTAATTAAATCTGTTTCCTGTTGTATACAGTCATTGGCCTTGGTATCGGTATGAACTTATTATTATTTTCAAGAAGACTGGTTCCAGGACCTTCTCCAATACCAAGGAGATAAATTCTGTATAAATTCAAGACTCGCACACAAAATGACATAATATTTACATGCAAATAGGTGAATTTTTGGTATAATCTGAAGATTATTTCTGTCACCTAATAGAACATAAATGCTGTGTAAATAGTTCCAATATATTGTTTAGGAGATAATGACCAAAAATTTCTGTACATATTTAGTCCTAAAGCAATTTGCTTTCTAATTTCAGTGGACAGAACTCACATATGTCAACTCAGGTGTGGAGGAGGTTACAAAGGGGTTAAGTTGGTGTGTCTGGAAAGAGAAAGAAATTGAAACCAAGAAGACCTCACTTTTCTGAGAAAATGTCTAGACATACCACCTCTCTCTCATTTTGTTTAGGTGGAGATAGAAAAGCCTGTGGCCTGAAGGTGGCTGGCACCAAAAGAATAAAATAAGATTGCTGATAACACTGTCGAGCCACTGAACTCAATGAACTATGAATTCTCACTTACCCTGGACTTCTGGTTCTATGGAAAAACATTCTTTATCGTGAGCTAGGTTTTCTGCAGGACGGAAAATGGCACTGTGCAACAACTCTAACCGGTTGTGCTGTTCCCTTTAAATGATACTAGGTTGAATAAGAAATTGATTATTTGAAGTAGTTGAGACCACACTGCCTTGGGCTGTGATTGCAGAGGACAACCGGCAGCTCCTTGGTTTATGTATCGAGCTGATCCCTACAGTTCAATGCAGTAAAATAATCCCTTTGATTCAGAAGTTGAACACTGTGTGTCCGAGTGGCATGGGAAGTAGAAAGGTGCTTGGAAGAAGGAAGAATTAAGTGTACAGACTCACCTTCCCTCCCTGCATTCTCCCTGGCTGTCTTGTTTTTCTGTAGGAACCAACTATGAAGTGCATAGCTGCCTATTTCCAATGGGCTATACATGTTCCTGTCATGCCTCTGACATGAAGATACACACACAGCATCTTTGTACATGTCTCTGTCTATTCTCAACAATTTTGGCATATTCTGATTTTTCTCTGTACCCCTGGGTGCCTCAAGTACACGCTTATAACTTGGATATTGCATATATTAAAATAATCTGTACCTAGTGCAGCTGAACATAAAATAGGAAAACTCACTGTGAAACATAAAATGTACATTTCTTAGCGTCTTATTCGATTTTTGTTGGTATCACCTAATTCATTGTCACTATTAATTTTATTAATGATATCATAAATTTAGTTAACTATGCACCAAATATGCTTCCAACTATACCATTGTTTATGTAATTATTTCCATAAGCAAAGCAACAGAAATATATATTACTGTACTCTGACAAATACTTTAGAATGTTGCATTGAAATGAAAGCAATAATGAAGATATTTATGCATGGTTATTTATGCCAACCCAGATGTTAAATGATGTGTGTGCACATGTGTGTTTGTGGTATTACCAGCACAAAGAAGTGTAAACATTCATTTCAAATTTGCAAACTCAGTCATTACAGTGCTTGTATTTGCATAAAAATATTTAAAGAACCAAATAACCTACTCTATTTTATCAGGTTTTTACATGCATTTTTGACTCCTGAGCTAGATTTAGAGGCAGACATCTATTTAAGTGCAGGTGGTGATACAAATGTGGCATATACCCACGTATCCACGCAGTGTGACTCTGTACTTATTTGTGTGCCTTGCAGACTTTTCTACTCCAGGCCTTCCTTGAGGGCAGCACTTTTCCCTTGTTCAGCATCCGTAATGCCAACAGCACGAGTCCATCCAAG